CAAATGATATTTTTTACAGATGTTCCAGTGAATAAATTTGGCAGCTGTGTTATGTCATTGTTTATAATCTTGCATGTAATCAAGCATGAGATGGGTGTTTCTTCTGTTTCTTTTTACAAACTGCACTTTGAATCATTGGATTATTTTTTAATTGATTGCATTAGTTTGAACGGTTTGCTTGTATGCAGCCAAAATCAAGCCTTCAGTTTATTTTTTTAATGTTTCAGGTGTAAACCATTGCCATTTATTTTAGGTACTTTCCCTGCCACGCTACAATTTTGTAGAAATTGACCATGTAATATTTTTTCCTTGCAAGCATTCTATTCTTATTGATATTAAATTATTTCAATGTTCATGTTTTGTTTCCTATATATTCAGTAATTTTCAGTTTTTAACTTGCAACTTCCAGTTTTTGGCTGTCTTTTATATAATCAATCAATGTATACTTTTTTGCTTCAACAATTTGTTTGAACTTAAGTAAACCTCTGCTTCCATTTGTGCAGGGCAGATATACTCCGTCAATATCACTATGGGGATATAATCCATAGCAAATAGTCATCAGTTTTCTTGTTGTTTTGGTCCAAACTATTCTGTTCAGCTTGTGTTCAGTTAATAATTCCAGCAGTGTATGGCCCAGGTACTCATGTTTCCACCATTCCGTTTGGTCTTTAGCAAGTTTCTCTTTACACACATTCTTGACTAATCACATTTTAAACTTACCCATGCTTGGATAAGTTACACTTTTACACAACTATAAAATGTCAGATACTTGCATGCTTCAACCTGAATTATTATTATTGATTTTTTACAGATGAAACATTAGAATATATTCCTCCAATGTTTAGATTATCAGCTTAATAAACTCCATATGGCATGATGAGCGATGATCTTTCCAGTGAATTGAATTCATGTGAGTTCATGAATTCATGTGAATACAAGACTGTTCTGATACATGTTGCACTGAGCCGTTAAAATGCTGCATTTATAGAATGGCAATCACAAGGGGGCATTGTCAAACCTCAATAATTCTGGTGAAAATTTGCTGAACCCTACATCCAACTAGTGACAATGTCGATTACAGGAGGGACAGGTGACTATTTAAATGTGTGAAATGACCTGAGCTGGCTTTGCTGGGAAAACTGAGGTGGGGACAACAGGTATGTGTGAATTGCTTTGGCCCATCAAATTGGAATAGAGTGCAACAAAAGTCATTTCTCAGCTCAGAGAAATCCACTTCTTAGGTGCTCTCAAAAGTCCACTCAAAACATGACTATTATTCTGCAATTACCAAGCAATTATTTCTACATGAAGAAATACAAAAGTTTGCACGCTGTTCTGTATATCTGCAATTGGTCTAATAAATTGATAGGGTTCCACCACAAAAACGCGTTCGACTAAAGCGCGCTCGACGAAACCGTGTAGCTGACGTCATCACAGCGCAACGAAAAAAGCACGCTGTAAACTCTAAAGCTAAAATTAACCCCTAAACCTAACCCCCTAAACCTAATCCTAAACCTAACCCTAAACCTAACCCTTAACCTAACCCTAAACCTAACCCTAACCCTAACCCTTAACCTAACGCTAAACCTAATCCTAACCCTTAACCTAACCCTAACCCTAACTCTTAACCTAACCCTAAACCTAACCCTAACCCTTAACCTAACCCTAAACCTAACCCTAAACCTAACCCTTACCTTAACTTGAATCGGCTTGCTTTCAAAGCGCTATTTAAAGTGCCCTTTTTTCTCCGCGGTCGCTGTTGTCGCTCTGCTGATGACGTCAGCGCCGCGGTTTAGTGGAGCGCAGTTTTGTCGTGCCACGAATTGATATGATTGGTTGGATAAGGGATCCCCATGATTTTATGAAGAAGTCAGCCTGTATATTTGAAAATGATAGAGCAAATCAAACCCTGGAGAAATCTATCAAAGCTCTTGTTCTGATAAGAAGCCTCATTTAATCTTTTCAAGCAATGATCAGCATCAGAACCAAGGGAAAACCAGCGTCTGTATGCTTGTATTCTTACGATTTATATTGATTGTTTCCTAGTATGATTTGATTGCTTATTTGTACCCTATGACTATCATTAAATGTTGCACCTTATGATTCTTGATGAATGTATCTTGTCTTTTTATGTACACTGAGAGCATATGCACCAAAGACAAATTCCTTGTGTGTCCCATCATGCTTGGCCAATAAAGAATTCTATTCCACTCTATTCTCTCTCCCAATAGAGGTGTCCATAAGGTGTGATATAAAGCAGGCAGAGCTTTGATTGCACCATCACAGTTACTATCTTGACTTTTTTTAAAAAATTACAGTACCATCCCCAACTGTGCCTTTTTCCTCTAGGTCTGTGATATGGAAGGCTTAGCTTTCCAAGCTGCTGAACTGCAGCACCCATCATCGCTTCTCTTTGATTTCCTGCAGATGCTGGAATTTGCCCTTCAAGGACCTGGGGAGTTGTCTCCCTCTCCAATACTTGTTAAGAGTTTGCACAGTTTGCATTCTGCCTACAGCAAGGGTCACCAACCTTTCGGACCTCAGGAACCATTAAATTCAAATTTTAAATCCCACAGACCACTAATATGATCTGCCTAATGACTGGCTGGGTGAGCATGGCTAGGTGGTCATATGACTGGGTGGGTGTGGCCAACTCAATGTCACTCACGACAAGGGACACCTCGCCAGCCTCGCCCCTCCCCTCCCAGCCACTCCTCGACAGCACACCTGGGCTATTTAGGGCCCCAAAAGGAAGCAATTGTTGGAGTTAAACAGCCACCACGAGCTGTTTTGTTGGCAAAACAGCTGGCTCAGTTCAAATTGGGTCTGGCCAAGAAAGAGGCTCAGCAGAAGCACCTCACTGAGGACTACGAGCATAGGCTTTCCAAGCAGAGGACCTGTGGGAGTGCAAGGCTAGGTACTGGTGCCTGGAGGCTCAGGGGGCTGAGATGGTAAGCCAGTTCCAGGCCAAGATGCAGTCCCACTGGAATGAAGCCCTCTGGCTCTTTGCCACCAGCGGCACTTCCCTCCAGCCTTCACCCAAAGCCCTGCACCAGGAGACTGAAGCAGACCCCAAGTCAGAATTTCTCCCCCCTCCAACCCACACAAAAAGACCGTGAAGGGGGAGACTCTGTGCAGCAACACAAATGTTTATTGAACGTATCTGACCCAGAGGCCATAGTTTGAGGACTCCTGATTTAGTGCAATATAAAAAATGCAAATAATTTTTCTGTGGACCACCAAAATTTTCTTGTGGACTACCAGTGGTGCATGGACCACCAGTTGGTGACTGCTGGCGTACAGTACAGCTAAAATGCAGCAAGGGGGAGAAGACCGTACAATGGAGGATAGTTTGTTCTTTCCGCCTCTCCTCCAAATTGGAGTTTATATCGGAGCAGCAGAAGGCTGAGATCACACAAGTGTTGTCAAAGAGACACTTAATGCTGGCTGGTCAAAACTAGGAGCAAATGAGAACTCTAGTCACCCTGTCCCACACTAACTGGAATCCAGGACTTTCCAGAGGGAACAGATTTCCCACCTTCACCTTCCTGATGTCCTTTGCAGGTGTATGAGAGCCCACCCAATGGGCAGTTTCGACCACCTTCTCCCCCTTGTCAATCTAGTCTTTCTTTTCACCGTCTGGTGCCTCTAAGATGCACACCAGCATCTGGACTTGCAGCTCTTGGGGAAAGTGACTTAAAACAGTTGGGAGTTTGTCTTAATTGCCCCAGACCCACTAGCAAGTGCAAGCAATTTTAACACCTAGAATATTACATCCAGTTTTGGTCACCACACTATAAACAAGAGGTTGAGACTTTAGAAAGAGTGCAGAGAAGAGCAACCAGGATGATTAGGGGACTGGAGCAGGGGTGAAATCCAGCAGGTCCTGACAGGTTCTGGAAAACTGGTAGCAGAAATTTTGAATAGTTTGGAGAACTGGCAAATGCCACCTCTGGCTGGCCCCAGAGTGGGATGGGAATGGAGATTTTGCAGTATCCTTCCCCTGCCATGCTCACCAAGCCACGCCCACCAAGCCACACCATGTTCACCAAGCCATGCCCACAGAACCGGTAGTAAAAAAAAATGAATTTCATCACTGACTTGGAGGCTAAAACATATGAAGAACGGTTGCAGGAACTGGGCATGACTAGTCTAGTGACATAAAGGATTAGGGGAGACATGATTGCAGTCTTCCAATATTTGAGGAGCTGCCACAGAGAGGAGGGGGTCAAGCTATTCTCCAAAGCACCTGAAGGCCAGACAAGGAATCATGGATGGAAACTGACCAAGGAGAGATTCAACTTGGAAATAAGGTGAAATTTTCTGACAGGGAGAACAATCCACCAATGGAACAGAAGTTGCCTTCAGAAATTGTGGGAGCTTCATCACTGGGAGCTTTCAAGAAGGGACTGGACTGCCATCTGTCAGAAATGGTGTAAAGCCGCCTGTTTAAAGGGGGGTTGGACTAGATGACCTACAAGGTCCCTTCCAACCCTGTTAATCTGAATCTCCCGCTGCAAGGGTGAGCTTCCCCCTGGGGGATGGCTGGTTGGCTAGCAGCTTTGGGGAAGAAGGAGATGGCGTTGCTACAGGGGCAGTGGAGGAAGGTTGGACCTGCACCTCCGATCCCCGATCGTCCCAAACGGGTCTCACGCGAGGGAAACCTCCACGTTTTCCCAGCCTCTCCTCCCCGCGAGCCTAGGAGGGGGTCGAGGTGGGAGGGGAGGAGAAGGAGCAACAGGCGCGGAGCAGAGGCGGCGACAGCAGGCAGATGCTTCTCGTCCCCGGCCTCGCCACTGCACGCGTCTTCCAGGAAGAGGCGCCTGGTTCGGCCGAGAAGCTGCGAGGGCTCGATAAAGCTGGCCGCTATCGGGACGTCGCAGCCAGCAAGAGCCCAGCAAAGGAGGAGCTGCGGGGGGAAAGCAAGCGAGCGAGCGAGTCACGGGCAGATCTCCAAACCCAACCGGGGAAGGAGGGACGGAGAACAACCCAGAGGGCGTGGAGACCCGGGCTCCCCTCCAACCGTGCTGGAAGCCGCTTGTGCGCTCGGTGGCGTCGCTGTCCAGGAGGACGGAGAAGCTGCTCGCCCCGCGGGTGCCGCGTTTGGAGATGTAGCAAAGGTAGGAGGTGGAGTGGGGGGGGGGGAACCGAGAAGGAAAGGTGAAGCGGGGCATTTGGGGAGGGCAAGGGACGAGAGGGCGGAGTTTAAGCCTGTCGGAGCCGGTGCCTTACCTGTGTGTGTGTGTGTGTGTGTGTGTGTGTGTTGAATTGACCCAGGTCAAGAGAAACTGGCGCAGGATCCTAGACTTTTTGATTTAAGGACGTGTTTGGAAGAGGCAAAAGAGAAGGGAATCCGGCTGGCTTTTGGAGACAACTCTTAACTCTGTTTTAAGACGGCTTTCTCCTCTGGGGGGAAAAAATACAGAAAACTACTCCAAATGTCAGCACCTCAGTGGGATCGTCTGAGCTAGCCATAGGGACTAACCAGAAAAGAAAAACGCCATAAATTAAGAACTTATTGCTGAATGAAAATCCAGCAAGACTAAAGGTAAAGAACGTGGAAAAACTCCGTGTTTCATTGGAAACAACAACAAAAAAACCCCTGCCAATGTAGAAATACCGTTATAGCAATTTATAGTGAGGCTACAGTTTGGAAACTGTATACAGTCCTGGTCACCACATGTCAGACATGATGCTACAGATGGGGAAGGATGCCAAGGAAGCCAATTAGAAGGATGCAGGGCGATTAGACTGGCTCCCCTTCAAAAAGATTAAAAGGCCTGGCTTTTTAGGATAACTGGGATGGAAAAGAAGGAAGGGAAGCTATTTAAGAGCCCATGGAAGGGGGCTTGGGTGATATGGAAAATGTTTTTGGAGCCAAGCTCTTCTTCCTCACAGTGTGAGCACTCGAAGCATTACTAGACACTCAGGACTGAAAGCAAAGTAGAAGGAATTCTTTGCAGAACCTAAATTAAACTGTGAAGTTTGCTAGCATCAGATGTGTGGACAGATATTAACTTAGGTGGTTTTAAAAGAGAGCAGAAAACATTCCTGGAAAATAGGCTAGGAATGGCTTGTAGACTTGATTATTGTTTCATGCCTATAGGTTGATGAGCATTGTGCCTAATATCAGCTAGTAGGAAGGGAATAAAGATGGGGAAAGGTCCATGGCTCATCTTCTTCTGGTCTGCACTTGGTTGGAAACTAAGCAATGTCAAATATTGGACTTTTTATATTCTTTATATTCTTATATTTTTACATTCTGGGTCCCTTGAAAATACACACTTGGTCCAACAAAAAATCTGTCTCTCTGTTTTTGCTGCTGACGCCTCAAATACAAACCTCCACCAAATAAACTGAGCTAAACTCTTCCATAAACTCATTTCCAAGTAAATATGCCTGAGACCACATTTCATACTAAGCTTGAAGGTGTATTGACCTGCAGAAGGATGTGCTGGAAATCACAGAAAAATCATTATTAGGAGTATACTTAAAATAGACTGTCGGGTCATATTTACTTTGCTTCATGCAGGAATCTTTATTATTCACCCCTTTAAAAGATGAGAAACCAAAGCTAATTACAGATGTGATCCAGTGGGAAACCAGTGTATTTCTATGCCAAAATATTTGTCACTGAGTTTAATAGTATTTGTTGTTAGGTAAATCGTGTAGGATTGCAGCAGCAATACAGAATAAGGACATCTATTGGCGGTTACAACATCATGTTTAATTACAGTTGCGTTAACTATGATTTGTTGAAAATACTATATGTGAAGAACAGTGCTGGGTTTCAAAAATTGTTGGAATCTACTCTGTGGGTGTGGCCTCCTTTGTGGGAGTGGCTTGCCACCCATGTGACC